ACACCTCAGGAAGAGACTGTTGTATCTCTCCCAAGCATCCCGGATGGTCTCATCTTCATCCTGGGTGAAGTGGGTGATCTGCTTCTGCAAGTCCGCCGTCTTCGACGGAGGATGGTAGCGGGTGAGGAACTTGTCCGCCAGGTTGGCGAACGTGGTGATGGAGCCTGGAGGTCGAGTATCTAGCCACTCCTTGGCATGCCCCTCCAGGGTGAATGGGAAGTACCTCAGCTGGATGGTATCTGCTGGTACCCCATTGATCTTGATTCCATCAATGAGCTCATGGAATCGCCTAAGATGTGATCGGGGGCACTCCCCCTCTTTGCCACGGAACATCACCGAACCGCGCAGCATGGAGATTACTGAGGTGCTCAGCTCAAAATTATTTGCTGGGACATGAGGGTGTTGAATGGGTGACCTCATGTCTGCAGCCCTGGCGGTCCAGTAATGTCCCATGGTCTGCTCCTCGGGATCGACCACAGCATGGCCCTGTGGATCAGCTATCTCTTCTTCCGCTTCTTCTAACTGAAGCTGTGATAGCGCCTCCTCCGCAGCCAGTCGCGCCTTTAGAGCCCGCTTGAAGTTTCTGCAGGTTCGTTCAAGCTCCTGGTCTAGTGGTAGTAGATCTCCCGACTGGCTACGGGTCATGCACTACCTGCACACAATCAGCAGAAGCAACCCGTGAAGGCACACAGGTGGAAGAGATAAAATGCAGTAAATAAAAAGCTAGAGTAACAAATTCTCACGTTTCCCCAATAACCTAGAAGTGTCCCTGGCAACGGCGCCAAAAACTTGACACGCCAAAACACAACACCAATCTGCGACCAAGTGTAATCGCAGACCGGGAATGCAGTAACAGGCAAGTTATATTATCAACCCGGGGTCTAGATCTACTGCTTACTTAGTGATTCTCTGTTATCTAGCCAACTAAAGTAAGTGATTGTTGTTTAAAAGCAAAAGCAGAAATAAAGTAGGAATTGATTCGGTTTTCTCAAGCAGGTAAGAGTCACTCGGGAATGAATCCCCCTAGCTCCTTAGTTAAGTTTCAATTGTATTTCCCTGGGTTGATTTACTGTTGATTAGACTGCGGAAGATCCGACAGTAGCTTGGAATCTCTTAAGCTGACCAAGCCCTCTCAGTCTATCTACCCGGCAGACGACTAGTCTTCACCGGGATAGAAAGCTGAAGCAGTAAGAACAGAACTCCACTACTGGAATTTGATTCCAGTACAAAGCAGTAAACTGGCTAACTCTCGTATAGCCAATCTCCTACTACCGAATGATGAGACTCTAGCAACCTAATCAGATTCTATCTATCTCAGATTGCAGCAGGAATCAGGAAAAGTTGATCAGACTTCAATTGACTCAATAAACATGCATCATTCGATTAAAATCAAACAGTAATATCATCCCAAGTCATTACAATCAATCCCTAACACATAGAACTAGGGTTCTTCATCCCAAAGTGAGAGAGTGGTTCTACTCCATAGAGAGAGAGAGGAAAACAAGATACAAAGCAGTCATACTCATAATTATGGGAAGAATCTGCTATGGGATGAAGATTTCCACTCCTATGACGATCTCCAAGCTTGATTTGATGAAACCCAGCTCCAAGATGGCTTCTAGGATGTGTTCTTCGTCCTTTCTCTCTCTAGGGCTCTGTTTTTGCTCAAAAAGTTCGATTCTCTCTCTTGCAGCCCGGAATTGGGTTAAAACCAGGAATTCCCGACTCACACGGGCAGGGCCACACGGCCGTGTGGCATACCCAGTTGCCCGTGTGAGTCAAAACGCTGCGTTCCAATTAGTTCGATCTTCAGGCTTCTCACACGGCCAGGGTTGCACGGCCGTGTGAGATTTCCATCTGCCCGTGTTTGCTCTCGGCAAAACTCGCACGGCCAAGCCACTCCTTCACACGGCCGTGTGTGTTGTCAGGGCAAGCCGTGTTTGCTCTCGCACAATCTCACACGGCCAAAGTGGTCACTAGCACGGCCGTGTGAGTTGTGGGTGTGCCCGTGTGGCCTCCTTTGTGACTTGCCTCGCGCCCGATCTTCGTCCAATCGACCCCAAACTCGCTCCCAAGCCTCCATTCACGTTCTAGGACCTGAAATATCACAAACAAGCACAACCTAGCGTGAAATCGGCCTAAAACACGAGAAATCACATCTCAAACGGTGTAAGAACAGGGGTGAAAACATGTGTAATTAACGGTCTATTACCTTACCAACCACAACTTTCCCAAACCATTTTCATTATAGAATATCTTCTGCTGCCAATTTTCAACTCTCTTTTTGAGCATCTTCTTCTCATCATATTGCTTTAGCCGAGGCTCTAACACTGCTACTATATCAATAGTATACTTGTTTATTTTATTAAGTAATGCATTATACTTACTATCATCTACAAAACCTCTAGTATTCCATGATATGACTCTCATTTACGACCTTGACTCTTCCTCCACCTTTACCCCCCTTTCTTCTTTACCTCAGGAGGGTCTATCAAAATCTGCTTTCCCTTGCTTACTACACTGGGAGTCTTATTCTCCTTATCCAGAACAGCAAAGCGAGAGCCTGAAGGTACTGCAACCCGAGCATTGATTTGAGGCCTTAAACTCCCTCCTGGAGAAGGTGATTTAAAACCCTCAAACAATTGCACAGGTGTGACCGGGTTCCCAGCAATAGCTGATGACCCTTTCACCACCTCTGTAAAACTTACTTGAACCCCCCCCCCCCCCCCCAAATGGTAAAGGGGTGACAGTTTCATCCATAATGACCAACGAAGCACTCATATGTTGTGCATCTACCTCTTGAACATGCTATGCAGCAACCTCTTGAACAGGCTGTGTATCAACCTCTACTCCGAGGCTACAAACACGCTCTGCAGAACACTATCCTGCAGCTGGCTTAGGATTTCTTCCTCTGACTCTGCCTCAGCTACCCTTTCCCTCTCATTTGGAATCTCGACAGATACCCTAACCTTATCAGTTTTCTTCTTCTGTTCCCAGACTCGTTGAGGTCCAGCATCACAATTATGTCCAAACACATTGCATTTCGAACAGACCTAAGGAAGATTGATGTATTCTATCCCAATATCGAATGGAGGATCATCATCTATATTTATACGAATAGAAGTTGGGAATGTGTAATCATCGCCTAGTTCCACACTAGCACGCGCAAACCCCAGCTGCCCACCCACCCTAGTCTTTTGATCCATCCAGAGTGGCCTACCAATCATACTTACAACCCATTACAACCCTTCCAGCGCCAAGTACTCCAAAGGAAAACCCCAAATTCTAACCAAATTGGCAGCGTTTCCACCTTAGGAACCACTGGCTTAATTCCCGATTTCCATTTTCGAAAGAAAATAGGATTCTTCTATTTCTTCTCTCTATTTTTTTATGATTCAGATGTTGATTTGCTGTTAGATCTTCAATTATTTAAGAAGTTTTGATGGATTTAACGGATCAATTAGGGAAAGTTGGAAATAGAGGTTCGCGTAGGGAAACGGGGATGCCGAAGCAAGTCTTTCTAGATCCCCAATTTCTCTTATGGATGTATCATTTTTTGGGTATGCATATCTTTTTTTTTTGTTACGTCGATTGGTGTATGATGGAAAGTTGCATAAAACATTCTTTTATTTTGGTTCCGTTTGATTTCGCTAATTGCAAGATTGTGTTGAATCTCGATTAATTTAAGTTAGAGACATGCATAGTCTATGTTTTGTTTATCGAATGATTGGATGGTTAGATGGATTTTGATAGGAATAGAGTTAGGTACATTGTTATTGAATCGTTTTTATGTTGGATTATAATTATTTTGCAATTCAAAGAGTGAAGGCATGTGAAATTCAAAGAGCAAAAGCTTGAGCGCATTAGAGCACCAACAACCCTTATCATATGCACAAAAATAAATCTGCAAACCAGTGGTATGCTTATAAGGTTGGCAGCAGTAGTGGAGGGTGGTAGAGGAGATGTAGATGGAATTTGATTTGATTTGATTTGAGCTCCAAGCTTCGCCCACGGGTTAATGGACAACGACCTCGAGACCAATTTCAGGCCGCAGCGGAGCTCGACCAATACTACCTAGTTCTTATAAAGCCTATTTGTTAAATTGTATAATGGTTGATATGCAGTTCACTGATAAAATATGTAGGGTTTTTTTTGGTTTGTAGGTAATAGTACAAAGTTTGAAACTTTGCGGATGTAACTTTTGATAGTATTTGATGAATAAATCTCACTTTCTATTAAAAAATATGTGTAGAGGAAAGAGAAAATACGATAGGAAAGAAGCCACAACGTTGATTCCCTTCTTGATATGTATTCTTCTCCAGTTTGGTGCCTTTGAGCCTCTCCAAAGCGTATATTTTTACCTAAATCCTATTAGGGTTCCTTAAAAGACAAACATGGCTGCCCTTTTATAAGTGCTCATTTATACATATTTTGAACCTATATTCTTGACTATTTCGTTTGAACTTCTCAGTCTCGACCATAAACTATCTGTAGACGAATTTTACAATGCTATATAGCATTGGTGCTATAGGTTTTTGCCTTTATGGTACAACTTGAAATTGTACCTTTAACGTTATGGTACAACTTTAGATTGTACCTATACTTTTTGTACAAATTCTTTTATGGTACAACTTGAATTTTTACTTTTATGTGATGGTACAACTTCAAGTTGTAAAGTTGTACCATAACATAATAGTACAAATTCCTTTATTGTACAATCTAAACTTATACATTTAATGTTATGGTATTAAAACACCAATACTATATAGGGAGAGGTTACGGTGGATACTTAGTGGTAGTAACCACCGTGGTTACTAGAGATAAGAAGGGTATTTTGCTTTCATCCTAATTCAAACTACCATTTTAATTGCGCTGTTAATTAGGGAGAGATAATTATGGTAACTAATTATTAGGTAGTTTAATCAGCGTAGGGCTTTGTTATACCCTATTTTCGGCAGTAAAAGATTTCTGCCTTGTACACGTTATCATAGGAGAGTAAAATGCCGATTGTCGACGGCGAACCATCACCGGACGTGGTAGAGGGTATAAGGCTGGCAATGGAGGCGTTGTTCGGAGAAAGTTTTGTTTCTGGTGGCGAGGAAGAGGATACGGCGATGCAAAGCGACGGCGGTAAGAATCTAACCCCGCGTCTAACACTACATGATTGTATGCTTTCGCTTGAACAGCAAAATATTAACATAGCTTTTGGTCGGCAAACCCTTGCAAAAGGATCAGATGTCGTCGGAGAACCAACCGTGGACGAAGGCGGCGCTTGTGACAATTCTGACGAAGGTGACGATTTCCATGTCCATGTTGAGTGTGTGGATTGGATTGGTACTGTTACGTATTTGTTTTGGCGTAATGGTAGTCCTTATAATGGTATATGTTGTATTGTTATTGGTAGTTCGTTCCACATTGGAATTTGTTTGATTGGATTGGTATTATTTCTGTCTTTAGTATGAGCTACTGCAGTGGTAGTAATATTTTGACATATTTGCATCAAATGGTAGTGAGTTGGTAGTGGTAGTCTGAGATACTGCAATGGTAGTGATGCATTGTTGTTTTTCAAATTGAATATCAGGTGTACAAAGTTGTACCAAACGACAAATCGTCATGGCAACATTTGAGATTTGACAATAGGGAAGCATTTGTCAAGTTCTACAGGGACGACGGTAAGCATCTAATCCCTATTCTAAGTAATTCCTAATTGTATGCTTTCGTTGATCGGCAAAATCTTAACACCGTTTTTTTGGCAACCTCCTTGACAGGGTCAAATATCGACCGAGATCCGACCAGTGACGTAGGCGTCGGAGTGGACAATTCCGAAGGAGGTGGGAATGGAAGCTTCTGTATTGGTATTTGTTGGAATATTATTGGTAGTTCGATCAGCATTGGTATTGGTATTTCCTATATTGGATTGGTATTGTGGCGTACTTTGTCGTTTCACATTTGTAGTGGTTCTATTAGTACTTGTATTACGTGGGTGCATGATGGTGGCGTGGTTTCCTATCAGTTGCTATGGTAGTGATTAGTAATTGCAATGGTATTTACTGCACTGTAGTTATCAGATACTGTAACGGTAGTGTTTTGTTTGTGGTAATATGACCTACTGCAATGGTAGTTACTCATCGTTTCTTGCTCTTTGAAGTCCCACAATTTGGGTTCTTGGTTCTTGCCATTACTAAAACCAAAAAATGGAAGGTAGCAACATTAACCAATGTTAGTGATGTATGGAAACTGGAAAGGTAACCAAATATCACAGGTATGCAGGTCACTACCAATGCGAGAAAAAAACCTACAATTCCAACTAAACACTACCATTCCACACCAAACATCACAATTCTACAGATAACTACCAATTCATGAAAAGAAGCTACCATTCCAAACAACATGAAATCTACCATTCCAACTAAAAACTTCAATTCCACACCAATGCATGGGAAGAACCTACTATTCCAAACAACATAGAACCAAGATCACTACCAAAATTGACCACTACCTTTGCAAACAACTTAATAGTATTCAATACCAAAGAAAAAACGAGCAAATTAAGGTCTCCCTTGCGCCGGAGAGAGACAAAAAAAAAAAAGACGGAAGCAAGCCTGGGGCGTCGGTGAGAGACTACGACAGAGAGAGACTGCGGAGGTGGGGAGAGACTACAGCGGCGGAGATAGACTGTACCAGAGAGAGACTGCTGCGACGGGATTAGCAAAGAGCTCCGCTGAAGAAGGTTCTGCAAAAGGAAAAATGATTTTGGGAGGCGTCGATAAGGGAATAAGGGAAAAGAAATAAAGAAGGAGAAGCGTGAGGAAAAGAACCCCCCTCTGATTTCGGGCTCAATAATGACGGGGGAATGATCGTGTGGCTCCCTTCCGAAAACACCCTTGAACAAACTGGGCCTCAGATTGGATTCACATAATCTGTATGGCCAAAAAAGAGGTAGCCATGGTGGTTACTTAAAAAAGAGTAACCAAGGTAACGCATTCCATACTATATAACATAGTAAAAGTGCTACCATTTATATTGTCCGGTCTGAACCACACAACACAGTTTCCGGTCTTAGCCTATTAGGCTCTTAGCTCAGCTGTAGCTGTACCGAACTGTGTAAGGGCATATACCATATGAACCCTTCAATCCACCAACGACAAAATCAAACCCAGCGTATCAACAACCTTCTAACGACTTCTCGGATCTTCCCATCTTGACCCTTGCTTTCCTTCTCTGAGTATTTTATCTTCTCATCCACCCACTCCCCCGGCTCTCCATTTCACACCACTTGCTTCACTCTCCTTTCTCCGCCACTTCTCACTCAGTCATCCTCACCAGCAGCAGCTGCTGGAACCTCCCGCCGGCAGAACGCCATGGCCTGCTCAGCTACCTCCGCCGCTCTTATCTCCTCCATACCGGCCACCAAATCCATGGCTTCTCCCTTATCTAAACCTTCCAAAACCCTAGCCCCTCTTCCCAACTCCTTATTCGGCCTCCGCAAGCCCCTCTTCCAATCCTCCGCCTTCGCCAATGCTCCCTCCTCCGCTAACCGCGCCCTCAGGAAGAGCTTCGTCGTCAAAGCCACTGTATGATTCTCTCACCCTTCATAATCAATTTCTTTCGGATTGAAGAAGCCTCTGTTAAATTGTTGGGGTTCCTTTCCACATTCCCATCTCGAATTCCGCTGTAATTTCAGTAAGTGCTCTTCTGTCTGTCTGTTGCGCGTTCTGTTTGCAGAGTGAGCTTCCTCTGGTTGGAAATGTAGCTCCCGATTTTGAGGCCGAAGCTGTTTTCGACCAGGAATTCATCAAGGTATTACTGTTTTTCAACTCAGAAGATAAAAATGCGCTAACGCTGTGGATAAAATGCAGTTCCTTTCCTGCTGCTCTCTGCATTACTCATTGCACCGTTTAATCTCGAACTCGTTGCAGGTTAAGCTCTCGGAATACATTGGGAAGAAGTACGTTATCCTTTTCTTCTATCCTTTGGATTTCACCTTTGTCTGCCCCACAGGTTTGTTTTGATGCGCTTTGGAAACTGTCTACACTCTGAATTTGGACATGGATTGATGGTGATTGTTCCTTTTTGATTCCTCTTCTCATGCTGCCTGCCGTCTGCTTGCAGAGATAACTGCATTCAGTGACAGATACGCTGAATTTGAGAAGATCAACACTGAAGTTTTGGGTGTCTCAGTTGACAGTGTGGTAGGTTAAAGTCATTTAAGAGAATAAAGATGATGGGAATACCTGTATTCTTTCACAAATGCATGCTTTATTGTGTATATTTAGGTTGAGGCATGATTCTGTCTTGATCTTGGGATGAATCTGAATGTAAACTTATGATATTATAATTGAATCTATACCGTCTTTATTGGAGCAAAACTCGACTTAAGCTCACATGTGCTTGCGTCCAGTGACCACCAAAAGTTTTCAGGTTTAACGCCAACAGTTTACATGTTACTTTAAGCTCGGAAAGCACTTTATAACATATTCTGATCATTTGGCTTGTCATTGTAGTTCTCGCATCTTGCTTGGGTCCAAACCGATAGAAAATCCGGTGGCCTTGGCGATCTGAACTATCCTTTGGTATCTGATGTCACTAAGTCAATCTCCAAATCGTTTGGAGTTCTCATCCCTGACCAGGTAAGACTACTCTGCTGTTAGAATAGGTGGATGAACATATGGGGTTCTTGCTTTCATCTTCCGTGGCATAACAGTAGGGCTACTGCTAAGTCATGCTTTGAAAATGTGTAACAATGTCTGTTTTCATTGTCATCGCTAGGGAATTGCTCTGAGAGGACTGTTCATCATAGACAAGGAGGGAGTCATCCAGCACTCAACTATCAACAATCTCGCCATTGGGCGAAGTGTTGATGAGACACTGAGAACACTCCAGGTGATCATATAACGCTGTTAATCTTGACTTCCGGAGCTTATCTTGATGATAAACATACTGATGGGAAGACACCATCTCCTTTCCTTTTCTATATTGCAGGCTTTGCAGTACGTGCAGGAAAACCCAGACGAGGTGTGCCCAGCTGGGTGGAAGCCTGGGGACAAGTCGATGAAGCCTGACCCAAAAGGGAGCAAAGAGTACTTTTCGGCAATTTAGAAGCGGAGAGTATAAGCCAAGTATCTCGTAAGCATTGTTCATTGGGAAAGCTGATGTAATCGAGGATTTTTTTCTTCTTTTTTTCATTCTCTGTAATCTGTACCTTTTAGCGGTTAGACCCCTTCGGAGTGCCTTTTCCCGCTAGAATAATCGCACTGGACGAGTGAAAAAGCTCAGACATTTTCCTATGAGGCGGATGGAAAAAGAAAAGAGTACGTATTTTTTGGGTTCATAATCGTTACGGGCATGTTTACCTTCATGTTTTCCTGTTTTTTAGAAAATGGTAGCAGATCATGTCAGTAACTGATGGGTTATTAACTCGTCAGTAATCAGGGCCGGCCAAGAGGGTGTGCCGGCCCGTCCTCTGGCACAGGGCCTCCGAATATTAGGGGCGCACTTAAATTCGTTAGTTACCGATAGAATATTGCAGGTTGTTTTTTAGTGTATGATTGATAGATTATGAATATGATGACGAATTTAATAGATAGTTTTAGCTATAATAACAATTGAAAAAGATTTCATGGAGAATACGAAAATCAGAGAGATAATAGATAATTTAAATTTAAACAATAAAGAAAGATATTACATTTTAAATAATGGTATTATAATCATTTTAGTTTTATTAGAGTTAAAAGTCAATTTGGATCATGTCTCAATTTTGGAATAGGGCCTACACGATCCATTTGATAGACCCGCACTCGCCTCTCGATCAATTTATATTATTTTCATTTCTCCATTCAATTTTTGCTCTATATCCATTTTCTGTTCCCTCCATATTTACTTTCCTCCCTCCCTGCTAGGAGTGAGAATTTGGTCTTGGTTTCTTGGTCAAACAGGAAGTGAGATTGTTTATTCATTTTGATAAATTTTCGAACAGGGCCTCCAAATATCATGGGACGGCTCTGTGACAGTAACATCTTTCCTTGTTCCACGTGTCAGTACTTTTTTTATTTAAATTAAATACAAAAAGGCAGTAAAGTAAAATTGCACTTACCCCTATTTATTGCTAACGCTGACTTTGGACCGGACCACATCAGCGCCTCCTTTTCTCACCTCGAAAAACCTTTAATTTTTCTTTCCTTAATCTTTAACGGACGATTTCTCACTCGTTTTAAGTCGAAATTTAATTTTTTTTGCACAGTTAGATCAGATTAATTGTGCTCTTCAAAATGATATCAACTTTGATATTTTTTGGAAATAAAATTTTTTTCCAGTTATTACCAATCTATACCATATGGTATTGACTGGTATTAAATAAAATCATACCATATGGTATGAAAAAAATTTCCACATCAATATATATTTCGTTACCATCCAATACCATACGGTATAGTGTGGTAATATCAATATATATTTCGTTACCACCCAATACTATATGGTATAGTGTGGTAATAATATCACACAATACCATACAATACCATATGGTATAGTGTGGTAATATCAATATATATTTCATTACCACACAATACCATACATTACCATATGGTATAGTGTGGTAATATCAATATATATTTCGTTACCACCCAATATCATATGGTATAGAGTCATAATATCAATATATATTATCTAAAAGGAAAAAAAAAGGATGGAGGGAAAAAAAATCGTCTTTTGTCGCCTCTCATTTCCTCTTCCACAATCAAGAACACCAAAATGCCAAAAAAATGAGAAAGATCGGAATTGAGGCCAATGAGTTGATGAAGAGAAGAAATGCAATGCAATAGAGTGGCTGTAATTTTTATTCGTCAATTGCTGGAGAAAAAAATGAAAAAGAGGAGAATGGAGCTGATCTAAATCTGAAAAAGAGATTGGAAGAGAGAAAGAGAAAGAGTATGAAAAGGAGATTGTGAGAGGAAAAGGAGGAGAGAAGAAAGAATGAAATGAGAGTTGAAGAATTCTCTCTCCTTTTTTTAAAAGGTAGTCATTAAATGCAGGATAAAATAAAAAATAATTAATATAGAAACGGACAAAAATATCCTTTCCCATTCCATGTCCAGTAGGGGTGGGAAACGGTGCGGTCCGGTTCAGATCAGACCATAGATACGGTCTGTGGTCCAGGCCGAGAGGTTGGAACACAGACCATGGACCAGACCATATACTATACGGTCTAGACCAGACCACACCTGTGCGGTGCGGTCCGGTATGGTCTGGACCAGACAGACCATGTTAAAAAAAAATTAACTCTTGTTCGCCCTCCAACCCTTCACCGCTATCTATAAAAAAAATCTAGTGACCAATATGCTAGTGAACCAAAAAAATTGTGATCGTATTAAATGAAAAGAAATATGAGGATAGAAGTGAGTCTTTTCAATTTTCAAATAGCCTTATTTCCCTATTTCTCTTTGTGCTACCGCTTCTCTCCTCTCTAAAGTGATCCGAAGGTTCTCCCAGTTGATAACCTTTTTGATGACGTCAAGGTAATTTCGAACCACTAAGATGGTCGCATATCTCTCAATAATTTCCCTAATCTCATCAAGGTGAACGAATTTTTTTGTAGTGTTTAATTTTTATTGACTCCATAGTCTAGACATTATCTGTGAATATTATTTATGAGTCTTTCTAATTTTTGTGTGGTACTTTGATAAGGAGATAACATATAAGCGATCATTTTGCAATTTGTTGGCTCTCAACTAGATGAAGAATCAACTAACTTTGTTCTTCAAATACACATATGGAGGTTCAATTTAGTGTTATTTTTGTCCAAGGTAGTAGGTAGTGTGTCGCGGTCTGTTACGGTTTACTGCGGTAGACCGCGGTCCAGACCACGCACTAAAGGAGGAGACCACAAACCAGACCAGACCATAGTTCTGGTCTCACGGTCCAGACCAAACCATACGATACGGTCTAGACCACGGTTTCCCATACGGTTTGGTCTGGATTCCCAGCCCTAATGTCCAGCCCCACCGCATGATTGCTCCACCTCTAGATCTACGTCCCCATTTATTACTGACAGATCATAACCAAGTGGTTACTGACCCTATCCCAAGCCATTGAAAATAGGTGAAAACAACATTTTGTCTTTTCCGAAAACAACAGGAAGTTGCCACTTCTGTTTTCATAGTTGGAAACGAATAGAAAACGAAATGAAAAGTAAACAAGTTTTCTCGTTTCGGTTGCCAAATTTATGACATGAAAACAGAAAACAGGAAACGAAAATGGAAGTGAACAGGGCCAGGTTTAATGAAATCCTGTTTTTGGTTCATAATTATCGACTTTGCGTATTGGAGGTCAAATGGTGTAGCTTGATCTCCTAGCATTTGACAATTAGTTTCCACCTCTGAAACTGATCGCACGGTGCATGGTTCCATCATCACCAACAGGATCCAAACCGGTATGGCGTAATCGCTGTGCTGCGAGTCTCAGATCATCATCATGCGAAGCCCATTTCCCACGCCTTCAAAACACACGGCATCAGAGTTTTAACCCACCACATATTGCGGCAAAAATTAAGAGCATTCCACTTCCACTCAATTCTCGCCTGCAAGACAAGTATATTTGGAGATTATCTGACTCTTGTACATATGCCCCTCTATCTGCATTTTGGGCTTTATTTCTCCAACTCACAAGGTAGCCTCCTTTGCTGCCCGATTTATGGAAATGGATTCGGCGAATTCCGGGGCCTCGACGAATATCATTCTTTCTATGGTTATTAAAGCACGACAACATCCCTACTCAAGTCTTCTTGTCCAGCCGCCATATGGAAGTGGAAACAACCTGCTTTCAATGTTCCATATTCCCGGAGAACGCAATCCATTTGGTACGTGATTGCCCCTCTGTGAAAGCCATATGGCTAAGAATCCTCCCTTCTACACCTGGTGATTTCTTTACTGCAAACATGAATGCTTGGTTGTATGATAATGTCATATTGAATGGGGAACACATTATCCATCAACTCCATTGGAAAAGCTGGTTCCTTGCAATTATTTGGAATATATGGAAAGCTCGTAACTCTTTGATACACACAAGTGAGGCATGGCAACCCACCCCCTTCTGGTGCTCCGCTTTTGAGCTGGCCAATGAGATTGAAGCTCACTCCAACACCAAATTGAAACATTCGACCCCACATGTAAGGAGTATGACATATTGGACTCCACCACCTGTTGGCTTTGTGAAATGCAATGTCAATGGGAGTCATCACCAGGTTCCTTTGTCCACAGCTATTGGCGGGTGCATCAGGACCGAAACAGGTGCTTGGAGCCTTCGATTGGCAGATTCTCAAATCATATGCCACACTCCTCGATTCTGGCAGCAGAACTTCAAGCCATTAGAGATGGCCTATCGCTTGTATTAACATTGGGTTATAGAGATGTTCGTCTCGAGACAGATTCACAATTGGCAGTTTCTCTAATTCACTCTGGAGACTCGACCTTTCATCACCTTGGAAGCCTTATTAGTGATTGTCGTACACTCATACAACATAGATGGAATTGCACTATTCACCATATCTTTCGCGAAGCCAATGGAGTCGCCGATATGATGGCTCGTCAAGGTCATGCACATCCTCCACGAGAACGCTTTTGGACAATACCACCGCTGTCGGTGTGTCGCTTGGTTCAAATGGATCAAACGAGATGTGGTTTTATTAGTTAGCCTATCTTGTAATTTCTATTTTCTCATGTACAAAAAAAAATTGTAGTTCCTCATATTATTCCAGTACAACGGCAAAGATTGGTTTATACTTCATATAAAGTATGCTTGTCTTTAGCATCTGATCCACTCAACTTCTGTTTCTATAGTAGAGTTGTCGGGCTGGAAGTAGGGGTGTTCAAATGGTTATCTTGGTAATTATCAAATCAAATAAGTCTAAATTCTATTAACCGAATACAATATCATAACCAAATCGTCCAAACTAATACAATAACCAAATTAACCTAACTAAAGTTTAATCGGTTTGGTTCTTTGGTTAACTAGATTAACTAATATAACATCACATTCTCATTAGCAAGAAAAATTTCCTATTAATACATCAATTCACAATTTATATATTGAATAAAACAAAACAATCACCATATAATTATAGTTAATTATTAACATAAACTCATGCAAACTAACACAATTGTCTTATATTCAATAGAAGTATATATTCACCTAACAAACATATATGTCATTAGGGTTAAATGAATTGTTGTGTTTGTGTGAATTGACTTAGTCTCTTAGCAATTATCATAGGTTGAAAAAGATATTACTTTCTAATTTTCGTCCAATATAATGTATGACTTTTATCAAAATTAGACGTATATATATTGTGGTCTGCATCTACAAATATAAATATACAACATAAGAATAATATTGAGCTTTATTTTTCATGAGTCTAAAGGAAGAAACGTTTGGTTGTTGAGTTGTTATGCAAAGTATTATGTTTATATAATATATATTAGATATATAGCTAATTAGTTAATAGGTTAATTTGGTTTAATTGGTTAGGAGTGTTTGACACCAAACAAACTAAAAGATTTAACCAAACCAAACAAATTATCCAAATTAACTAAATCAAATTATCTAAATTAGACGTATATATATTGTGGTCTGCATCTACAAATACAAATATACAATATAAGAACAATATTGAGCTTTATTTTTCATGAGTCTAAAGGAAGAAACGTTTGGCTGTTGAGTTGTTATGCAAAGTATTATGTTTATATAATATATATTAGATATATAGCTAATTAGTTAATAGGTTAATTTGGTTTTATTGGTGAGGAGTGTTTGAAACCAAACAAACTAAAAGATTTAACTAAACCAAACAAATTATCCAAATTAACTAAATCAAGTTATCCAAATACTACCAATTAAAACGGTTACAAAAAGAAAGACATCTTTTTCACCATTTAAGGTAAAGACTAGAAAGTATTGAGTTTGATAAGGCCCAAAACAGAATACAAATATCCCGCATATATTATTGTTGGGCCGTTGCGTTGCCTTAATTGGGGTGATATTCATCATTTGGATCTAGCTGGCCCGAGAAGCTTCGGGCTAAGTTGAATTTTTTTTTTTAGTACAAGCGGGCCAAGTTGAATTATTAGGTGCTAGAATTATTTATGTTCATATATTTGGTTGCGAAATCCAAATATAAGGTAAATAAGTAGAGTTTCATGAGTTTATATTATAATATTATTAATTTATCTAAATTGGATTGAGATTTTAATTCATAGATTTGAGTGTGTATTATATCTATATACAAATTTCTATCTAAACAAAATAGATTTTAATATTTAGTATCTAAAATTAATTTTTTCATATTTCCTACAAATATCAATATAATGTACATTTAGTACCTACAAATTTTTGTATAACATTTTAGATCTAATTGTTTTAATTTTTTACAAATAGGTCAAATTTTGAATGTTTAATTAAAACAACTTAAAGTAAGTGAGCATCCATACCTAATCTATACTCATGTAGAATATGAAAGCAATACTCATAACTTACCCAACTCATTTAAAACCCAAAGTATACTTCACAATACCCTACCCCATAATTAATGAGACTACTTGACTTTGAGTAAAATTCTCTGTGGGTAAATAATTACCATCCCTATATGGCCATGCATCACACCGATTTCCTTGAGGATGGCAGTTACATGTAAACTCTTATATTTTGAGTTACAGTAAATTTACATTAGCTTTTAAACAATAAATGTCTTGTGATTTAGTGGTATAGCACTCTTATATTATCTAGAGATCATGAATTTAATGCCTAATTTTTTTATATATATATAGGGATTTTTTTATACCACAGAAATGACCTGTGTCCTGGGACACATCCCAACCCCTGGTTCCGCCTATGACCATACCCTACCCCATAATCAATGAGACTACTTGGCTTTGAGTAAAATTACATGTGGGTAGATAATTACCATCCCTGTATGGTCATGCATCACACTGATTTCCTTGAGGATGGCCGGTACATGCAAACTCCAAACTCACTAGTATTCAACGTCTAAGAATTCCACGTTGGCCACACCGTGGACCACGGGACCGCGACCATCCTGGGCTTGGCAGGGCATGCTGGCCGGGAGGGATCTTCTAATCCGGGGCCTTCGCTGGCGGATCGGGGATGGAACTACTGTTCAAGTTTTAGCAGGCCTCCCCAGATAAGCTCATTTGGCATCACTCCCCGACTGGGGAATACACGGTAAAAACTGGTTACCACGTTCTCACTGACGAGCTGCTCTCTGTATACCCTCCTGCTCCGTTGCCTTATGATTGCAATTCTGGAAGGTACTGTGGAGCTTACCGCTACCGCCTAAACTGAAATTCTTTTGGTGGCGGGTGGTCCGCGGCTTCCTTCCCGTGCGGGCGGTACTACAAGTCAAGCGGCTGGTCACGGATAATACATGTCCGATTTGTTCTGAAGGTGCCGAGACCATTGGACACTCCTTCCTTCATTGCCGGGTAGCCGTGGAGCTCTGGGCGATGGCTGGGATGGGGAATTTAAGAAGACGGTTGGAAGGTTTGTCGCATTCGGATTGCTGGCAGGTTTTATTCTTTTCTTGCCACCTTTCGAAAACGGAGATTGCTGATGTAGTTTTTTTGTGTTGGCGAGTGTGGAAATCTCGTTGCTGGGCTCTTCATAAGCACATCCAATACATGGGGCAGACTCTGTTTCGCCAGTTCCGGGCGCAGGTCGATGAATGGCAGCTGGCGACTGCGCCGTTGACGCTTCACAGGGGTGGTGGGGGAGCTCGTCGGGCACGGATGGGAGCTCCACAGGAAGCCCGGCACCTGGTTCCCGCCGGGGTTTGCCCAACAGATGGAGTCCTGGTCCGCTTTGATGGAGCTTGGAAGAAGGATGCGGGTGCTGGCATCGGTTTTGTCGGCTTCTGCAACAACGGACAGCTGGTATTCGCGTTCGGGAGACATTATCCAGGTGTGTCTGATCCTTTTATTTCGGAGCTATTAGCTCTTCATGATGCGGTTAACTGGTGTGTTTTGCATGGATTTGGTTCGGTCAATTTTTGTGGAGATTGCCAGCTTTTGATCCGCAGGATACGGGCGAGGGAGGTGAACCATGGAACGGGAGGTGCGCTCTTGGAGGAGATCTGCTCGGCGGCTACGTTGTTTAGTTTTTTTTACTGTAATTTTACGCCTAGGTTGTACAACAGGGCTGCCCATTTAGTGGCTTCTAATGCCCTTTCATCGACAGTTCGGCTACTAGTCGACTGTCGCGTGTGGTTGTCAGGTGTCATGTAATATCTATAACTATCCCTATCTATGCCAAAAAAAAAAAACGTCTAAGAATGTTACACTGAAACAAAAAAAATAAAATAAAAAATTACTTGGGTACTTTACCTAGTTATCTCATAATTACAGAGGCAATAATTTCACTTGGTTGGTCATAGGTAGGTTCTCCAAGAAGGTGTCGAGCTAATTTTGAGTTTGACAATGGATTCACTAATATACACCTGCCTTAATCTGACCTGAAAATCTTGGTTTACTTGAAAACTAGGCTTGTGATTGGATAGCAACCCAAGTACTAGTGGTAGAATTGGTTGGGGCCATACGGTGGCGTATAAATTCGGCCGAATATCTTTTACTTGTTCACATTCGAAACCTAATCAAGATTCTTCATCCAGTTGACCTTGACCAGCTTCCCTTATGGTTTGACTGATGATCATCCATCATCGCAAATAATCCTACAACAACAAGTTGTTTAATTGGTGGGGTTTACTTCAGAAAGGACATGATTAACTAAGATACGAGTTCTTATAACTAATTGGACAACAGTTTTTGTAAAGAGTTAGTTGGTTGGTTAGTACTGCTGCATTAACAAACACATCATGTGGCTCACATGTTGACATGCAGCAGAGCAGACAGCAACTCCTTTCCACATCTAAGTGCTTCCTTCTCAACAGGTAACATCCATCATATAATTATTCGCCCAAACAATATAGATAGATAGCTCTACTGAGATAATAATTGATTAATAAGAATGAGGTCTCCTATGTATATATGAAACCATAATTGGAGGGACAAATTAAACTATATATATGCAATAATCAAATTATGTTGTTTTAGATTTTCTTTTCCCCCTTGCCTCCTGCTTCAAGTGTTTGTCTCTTAGATGTTGGAGGAAGGGACGCAAAGGAATAGCATGAAACTCCAACGGTATACTTTCGAAATCCTTGTCATGATTATTAATGGTCATGGTGCTGGTGGGGGCAATAATATAATAATTTTCATGGCGGGTGGTGAGGTTCTTCTTATGATCATCATTGCTTGAGGAAAGGAACGGCAATGGGCAAATATGTATTCTGATATGGAATTTGGGTATGTAATTTTTTTTTTTTGGCTAGCTGTTTGGTTTCCATGGAATTTAAGCCCGTCAAGAGGTTCAACTCTTTTCCGGCAAACAAATGAGCGTCTGGATGCATATGAGTGGTGTTGTATTATAAATTTCTTATGTACTAGCTTTTACTCAACTTGTAAGTTTGACGAATTTTGTTTTATTTTTTTTTATGTTTATCAATTGGTTTATATTTTTATATTTTAGATGAAAACGACAATTTTTTTTTAGTCGGACCCTCTTTAGATTTGATGCTCGGTGGGTTGACAATCCCGAAGTCAAGGCCATGGTAACTTTTATTTGGAAAATGGAAATCCAGGGAACACCAATGTACCAACTCTGGGAGAGACTTAAACAGCTTCGCCATCCAGGGAACACCAATGTACCTCCAAGTAGAAATTGATCGAGTTTAGGCAATTCATCCTATTGATTGGGATGAGGTAAGGACTTTGGAAACTGAGTTGCATAGGTAACGGGAGGCCGAGGAAGTCTATTGCCAGCAGAAGTCGATGGTCCATTGGCAAAAGAAGGGTGGCAAAAATACATCGTATTTCCACATGGTGACGAGAGCTTGTAGGAAATGAAACTTTGTGTCCGGCCTCAATAATAGTGGGGAATGGGTCACCGAGGAGAAAGGTAAAGCAGACATAGCTACCGACTTTTATCAAAGTCTCTTTGCCTCGAAAAATCAAGTGATGAACATGGAAGAACGGGTGGCCAACCTGCCAATAACCCCACGAGTCACGACAAAAATGAATATCAGTCTTACAACAAAAGTCCTTCTGAGTGAAGTTCAGAAAAATGATCTTCTCCAAGGGATCGAAACAGGCTCCGAGATCTGATGGATTCACGGGAAAATTTTTCAAAGCTTTCTGGAATATTTTCGGCAATTTTGTGATTGCAGTTGTCTGCTCGTTCTTTACCATGGGTAGGATGCTTCGAAACTTTAATCATACTTGGAAGACACTGATCCCTAAAGTAAAAAATGTCGAGACCTTGAGGCAACTCGGGCCAATTAGCTTGTGCCAATTTGTGTAGAAAGTTATAACTAAGATCATGGCAGATAGGTCGCCATGTCTCTTACCACAAATCATTTCAGAAGGCCAAAATGCTTTTCCTCCGTAAACTGCAAATAGTGCAAAAGATCAGGTTTGATTCAAGTCCCCTAAAGTCGAGTTCAAAAGATCAACTTTGATTTTGAATTTTGAATCAATTTCTTTCCGACCTGTCTGTGACTCTGTATTGTAACCCTTGTTTCCGTCGGTTGTGAAATTCAGAAACCAGTAGCAAGCCAGCACAACAGGACGTGAGAGTGGACAAAGATGAGATGAAATAGCTAAAAGATGATGATATCACATATAAATTGATTAATGGAGTAGAAAGAAAGAAAGAAAGATTTCACCAATCACCAATTCACTGTGCAATGACAATGGAGCAGATCGAAATGGCCAAAAGGGAGAGAAAATTATTCGCACCTTCCTTTCACCAATCACCGTCCGCAGACCGCAACATGTAATTTCATCGCCTTTTTGCGGTAAATGGGTAGCCGCACTCACAACTGATAACCGCGCCATCGGTAAACGGTTTACCGAATTTATTTGGTATCGGCAAACGGTGGCAGTGTTTTGATTTCCGATATACCGGTAACCGATTTAACCGGTTATCGATCGTTTACCAGCCCTATCTACAATAATGTGAGAATTTGATCGAGGTTTAATGAGCATGAGAAACTGACTCGCTACGACACAACACCTAACAATGGCCAAGTGTAACCAATGGAAGGGACTGCATTATAGTGGCTCAAGTGATAAATATCGAATCCACGGGTCTCTAGAGTTACTATTACTCAGCTTCAGTTTATTATTTAGCAAACCAGATTAAGATGAAAGAACTAAAACTACTCTAGCAAACTACAGTTAAAGTTAATCTAATTACAGGTTGGGAACTCACTTAGGTATGATTCCCCCTAGCCACTAGCCAGACTAACGATTGATGATTTCTAACTTGTTTCACTTTCATTCACAATGCGGAGAATCCTTGACTAGACCTTGAGTCTCGACTAAAGGAACAAGGCCCTCTTGAGTCAATTGCCTAGAGGGACGTATCCTTCTCTAGAACAACCGATCAAGGCGTTCTGAACTAGATTCCCTCTATCGAATGAGGTTCTCAATCGATACAAAGCAGTGAATCAACCCTCGACTAAAGCAATCGATCCACTACTATCAATCTATGGTGCTCTATTGACCTAATCAGGTATTCCCTCTCATAGGATCAAAGCAGAATCAATAATCTCGACTAAAGCAGAATTGAATCATGAAAACATGCATAGATTGAATATGAACTCAAGATTATCAAGTCAGAGTACTCATACAATCATCCAATCAAACAAACATAGCTAGGGTTCCTCAAAACCTAAGTGAAGGGAAGTTACTCCATAGAGAAGAGAGAGACTGCAGTAAGAATCTTCAGATGATCAGTCTTCAAGTCCGGGCTTGTTCCTCGAGCTTCCAAGGCGAAGAAATCCTCCAATTCCACTCTTAAAATGCCCTCTAATCGCCCTCTCTCTCTTTGGTTCGTCCCTTGGGTGTTTGCTCGAGCTTCCAAGGCGAAGAAATCCTCCAAAACCCAGCTCTCCCTTTGCAAAAATGCACAAAACAGGCTTTTAACAGCCTGCGTTCGCGATCCCCGGTCAAAATACCCGGTAGGGTATTTTAGGTCACGATAGGGGATTTTTTGGTTCACGATAAGGGATTTTTTGGTTCACGATAGGGGATTTTTGGGTCATGACCGGGGATTTTGGTTCACGATCGGGGATTTTTGGTTCACGATAGGGGATTTTTGGAGACAGGGGAAAATCCCCTATCAAGGCCAAAAATCCCCTACCGGGGATTTTAGTGTCACGATAGGGCCCCCTTCTGTTTCTCAGAGAAGCCCGAAACCAATTTCCCCTATCTTTGATTCTTCGTTTCTCCCTCGTTCGGACTCCAAATCAGGTGCCATTTGATCCCAGATGCTCGTATTCTCGTCCTCTTTCTTCTCATGACAGGATTACATGATTATATGGTCACAAACGGAGGTAGAAATCCCTTCTTCTTCAAGTCATACCCGAGTTTCTTCCCCCGAGTCGCCAATTGATCTCCGATTGACTTGAAACTTGGGCCTACGCTTCACTTTATGTGCTAGGACCTGAAATGTGACAAAGGAACACAACCTAGTGTAAAATAGGCCAAAGAAGCAATAATTCAAGCTTAAACGATCAAGAAACAAAGGGGAAAACATGTGCAAATATCGAGTCATCAGAAACTTAGTGCCCAAAGGGTGAACTTGGCTAAGTCAACAATTTGCTTTAGTAAGAATATTGTCTGCCAAACCAAGAGTTCTTGGCTCAGATTCTGGGTTTTGGGATTGTGGGGGTCCATGATAAACGCCTAGTATCATGAACTTGATTGAGGTGACATTGGGTGAAGGAATCATGCTAGGAGGGGGACTAGTTGCATGACCATTGAGCTGGCCCCCACTTTAGTGAGTCCCGCACCACAAACACGACATTCTAAACGATATGCATGATAGACGTAGACCTAGGGAAAGTGTGCATAAATTAATGGATTTCTGGACTTGATCACTTGTTGTTTACAATTGCCATGAATCGTGTTTGTGAATTGGAATTGATATTTGGGTAACTAGGTAGCATGTGAGCTTTGAGCCGTTCGTTTCTTTCGGTGTGATAGTTCCCTTTTACCACTGTATGTAGCATCACAAGTTATCACTAGCAAGTATGATGGAGCCATAGGATTAGTCCATGCCCCAAATGTTGATTGTCCCAAAATGAGTCATCCTTTAGTCAACCTCTTTGAGCCGTGTGACTTCGTGGGTCGTTCTTAATTTAGGAGTTTCGTTCGTGTGAGCTTAAAGGTGTTATTAGAACGACCCCCAAATCCTTTCTTCGTGTCCAAGCATGAGTCGCCCGTGTGTCCAGGAGCTCTTACCATTGAGTTTCCATAGAGGTTCTACATAGGAGGTTCGTGAGTGGTCCTTGCTAGGGATGAGGAAAATTAAGTGTAGTGTTGGAGTGAGTTCCTCAGAAAGAGAGCATTGGTCGATAAATGTTTAGGTGGAAATTGTTCTTACTCTCTAATACCCCCCTAAAAAAGAAAAAAAGAGCAAGAAAAGAAAATGAAAGAGAAACGAAAAAGAGGTAATAAAATGGGGTAAATAAAGTAGAGAGTGCCACGAAAAACCAAAGTACATGCTCTAGGAGGAGTTTCTTGGCACCCAAGCCAACGAATCCCCCACATTTTTTAGAACTCCTTCACTACCAAACCTTAAAGAACTAGCAAGAGTTAACTGAGGAAGAGTGCTTCAAGGTAGTACATGATTGGTGATAGTTGGAAGGGAGAGATAAGGGTTTTGGCCGATGCTAGTGGCCATTGATTGAAGGGAAGGGTTTTAGTCGAAACCATAGACCCTTTGACTCGACTCTACTGTCACCCTAGGAATTGGCCAAGTGCAACCACTCCCTAAAGCGTAGTATAGCGGGTTTAGGTTTATATGTCAACCCGGGTCCTAGATTTGCTGACTACTCAGTGAGTTCGTGTTATCTAGCAATGAAACTGGGATGCAAGTCTAAACTATCAAACTAACAAAGCAAGTAAACTGTTGTATTCAGGTTAAAGAGGTCACCCGGATATGGTTCCCCCTAGACTGCAGTTAAGCCGGATTGTAATTACCAAGTTCAGTTTCTATGACAGTTATACTGCGGAAGGTTCTCAAACAGCCTGAAGTCTCGACTAAAGGTCTTCAGACCCTCTCAATCTGACTCTCTAGCGGGCGACTAACCTCCACCGGAGTCGACAGATAGAGGCCCTAAGAACAAAACCTCCACTACCGGAGTAAATCCGGTACAGAATAGTGAGTTGGCTCCTCGACTAAAGTCACCAACTCCCTACCTTCAATCAAGGATACTCTATTAACCTAGGCAGATATTCTCATTCTAGGTTAAAGCAGAAACAACAGGAATTTGATCAGGATTCAAGTCATTCAATCATTAAAACCTCAATCGAATATAATCAATCACAAAATCAGTACTTGGGTTCATACAATCAAAGCCTAACATACAAATCTAGGGTTCTCCATACCCAGATGAATGGGAGAACTACTCCATGGAGAAGAAAGCAAAAGCAGAATCAGACACGGAATTCATACTGCAAAGGATGGATTCCTGCTTCTGGACGTTGATTGGCACTTCTCCAAGCTCAAGCTGGCCTCCAATGGTGTTGAAGATCAATCTAGGGCACTTGGAGACTCTTGTTCGTCACTTTCTCTCTCTAGGAACTGATCTCTCTCTCAAAAACTCGAATCCCCCCGACTTTGGTTCGGAATTTGGCTTAAAACCAGGAAATCCTGACTCGCACGGCCAGGGTGCACGGCCGTGCATATCACCATTCTGGCCGTGCACCTCAAAACGCGGCGTATCAATTAGTTGAACCTCAGCCAACTCGCACGGCCAGAATTGTATGTTGCACGGCCGTGCGGATTTCACTTGTGCCCGTGCGTGCCCACGCACAATCCCGCACAGCCAAACTGGTCACTTGCACGGCCGTGCGTGTTGTGGGTGTGCCCGTGCGACTTCCTCAGAACCTCGCCATGCGTCCGATCCTCGTCCAATCGACCCCAGACTCGCTCCTAAGCCTTCATTCACGTCCTAGGACCTGAAATATCACAAACAAGCACAACCTACCGTGAAATCGGCCTAAAACACGAGAATCAACACCTCAAACGGTGTAAGAATGGGGGTAAAAACATGTGTAAATGACGGTCTATCAAACTCCCCCACACTTAACCGTTTGCTTGTCCCCAAGCAAACCTAACTCAAACCAATGCAACTCTCCAGACCTCTATAGCAACAAACACCCCAGATCGTAGGTAGAGGACTTCCTAGATCATTTAGCAACTTACGAGGTCAACCGAAACACAAGTCATCTCATAGCTTCTTCGGCGAGAGCACTAGTATCGAGTCGGCATCATGGCAAATAGTGAACAGAGGACAAATGAATTGTGGATGAAGAGATTCTCAAAAACAAAAGATCATGGACTCACATTTTTCAAGGTGCTCTATTTTCTTCTTGAAGATGGTTGAGACCCCTTTTTTTTCTGTTTTGCTTGTTTTCTGATATTTTTCTTTTCTTTTCTTTTTCAAGGGTCCCAACCTGCTCTTACCGGCCATGCCAGGAGCGGATGTCTCGAGCCTCGTGCGGGGGAAAGACATGTAAGGGGCTGGAGGTAGTAGGTGGGAATTGGGAACGAATTCCCGTCTCCCCTTACACACTTTCGCCCTATTCGAACGAGAGACGTTTATTTTGAAGCACATTTTCGAGCACCTGCTATTTTCAAAACATGATACAAGAGTCCATGACAGGTAGAAATCCACAACACCACACAATTCAAGGGTCCTAAGATCACTAATTCACTCAATCAACCAACACAATATGAAGAAGAAATGAGACTCCTTAAATGCATCAACATCCTCCATAGTGCTACACTACCTCCCTAGGTTGCATATCACTATAAAGACTGTCAATTCAAAGCATACTGAGCAGGCAATTGCAAGGAAACACGTACTTGGAGCCCTCAAATTTTAAAAATTTGGACAGTGGACTAGGCTCCAAGCACACAAACAGATCTAATGCAGTCGAAAGATAAACATCCCCCCACACTTAAGCTCGACATTGCCCTCAATGGAGAAGAGGGAAGGATAAGGGGAACGATGTTACCGGTAGGCACGGACTGCAGGGGACTGGAAACGGGCCAGTCGGGGCAAGCACAGCCAAAGGGGAACAGAAGAGCTCAAACACAGTATGTTAGGTTCAATGGTCAGCCCAATAAAATATCATCCAAACCAAAAGAAAAACAAACCAAACCCCAAACCGGGTTACAATCCGACTCAAAACAAAAGAAAGAAAGTCAAACCGTGGTGGGGTTGCCTCCCCACAAGCGCTTCTTTACCGTCGTATTAGCTGGACGCCCATGGTGGATACTCAGGGCGGTGCAGGAACAGGTGCCTCCAAGAGCGGATCCACATCGCTCTTGAGGTACAGCTTGAGGTTGTGGCCATGCACCCGACGGATGCGACCACCCTCATCAGTCAGCTCGACCTGCCCATCTGGCAAGATGCAGGAGAGCGAGTACGCAGACGACCAGGGTGGTCGTGGTGCAGGAGGTGGGACCAGCTCATAGTGGTCTCCACTCTTCTTCCGTGCAGGCTTAGCAACCTGCTGCTTCGGCCGCCACTCCTCCTTGAGCTTTTTCTTCGGAGGCGTGGCTGGATGGAGTGGCGGCGAAGGACTGATAGGAGGGTCCTGCAAAATGAGAGGAGCAACAGGATACACGACAGGCTCGTGTACCTGATCAGACATAGCATGCACAGGCGTGACATCAATCATAGCACAGTGATCAAACTCAGTCACAGAAAAAGTAGCCTGTTCATTCCCAGCACGCAAGATCAGTTTTCCTTCATGCACATCAATAAGTGCCTTGGCGGTGGCAAGAAATGGCCTACCTAGAATCAAAGGTACATCCACATCCTCATTTACATCCAGAATAACAAAATCAACAGGATATGTGAATGCACCAACATGAACAAGCAGATCCTCTATAACACCCCTAGGATGCACAATGGAACGGTCAGCGAGCTGAATGCTCATCCTAGTAGGGCTAAGTTCACCTAAGTCTAGCTTCTTAAACAACTTATATGGCATGACGTTTATGCTAGCACCTAGGTCCGCCAAGGACTTGCCTACATGCATGCTGCCAATAGTAAGAGGGATAGTAAAACTCCCTGGATCCTTGCGCTTCTCGGGCAGCTTGTTCTGCAGGATAGCAGAACACTCCTCGCTCAGCATCACTGTCGAGAGATCCCCAAGTTTCTTCTTGTTGGTGCAGATATCTTTCATGAACTTGGCATACTTGGGCATCTTCGACAGTGCCTCCATGAACGGTATGCTGATGTTGAGCTGCTTCAACATTGCCATGAACTTGGCAAACTCAGTCTCCAGCTTGTCCTTGTGTAGGCGAGTGGGGAAGGGAAGCTGGGGCACATGCTCCTTAACCACTGGTTGTGGCTTGGGAGCAGGGGCTTCCTTCTCCACCCGCACTTCTGCATCGTCGGCTGGAAGTGCTGAAGCAGGTAGTGGTTCCTCCTGTCTGGCCGGGACAGGATCAGCAGATATGACCTTACCGCTCCTAGTAAAAATGGCATCCAGCTGCTGATGCTGGTGGGGATCTCGCGGATTCGGAACAGTGGTGGCAGGCAAAGTCCCCGGTGCCCTGGTGGTGTTCTGGCGAGCCAAGATGCCCACCTGGGTCTGCAGATCCTGCAAGATGGCACCCTGGTTCCGCTGACCTGCCTCCAGTGAGGCTACACTCTGGTCCAACCTCGTGATAGTCGCCTGAGTGCTCTTCATGAATGAAGCTAGAATGTTTTCCAGCTTCGTCATCCTGTCATCTGGGGCTGGAGCTGCTGCTGGCTCGGCAAACTGGCGCTGGGGCTGCTGGAATGGCTGCTGTGGAACTAGCCCCTGTCGAGCCTGGTAGGGCTGCCTCTGCTGAAAACCACTTGCTGGTGCTGGGAAACCAGGTGGTTTAGTGGTGTTGCTGCTCCAGGCAAAGTTGGGATGCTGGCGCCACCCCTCATTATATGTGCTACTGTATGGATCGAGGCGCCTCGCATTGGCGATGAAGGCCAACTGCTCCTGGGGTGTGGTAGACTCCCTCATAGCCTGGCAGTCCTCCACTAGGTGATTGGAGCTCTCACACCACTGACACTGAGCAACTGGAGGTGTAGCCAAACCTTTGCCCGGAATCAGACTGTTAGGCTGCTTCAATGTCTGCACTAGCTCAGCTACCTGCTGCTCGAGCCCGGATCTGGTCTCCATGGCGTGCACACCACGGTCCCGAGACTGTCTGCCTCGGCTACCCTGTCCCCAAGAATGATCTCTGGCAGCCAAAGTACTGATCATCTGGTTCAGCTCGGGTGGAGTCTTGGTAAGAATATCCCCTCCTGGGCATAAAGACTCAATCACCCTCTGGCTATCTGGGGAGAGAGCGCTGTAGAAGTTCCCCACAGTGAAAGCATCACTAAAGCCATGGTGGGGGCACTGCCAGAAGTAGCCCATGTACCGCTCCCAAGCATCACGGAGTGACTCATCTGGCTCCTGGCGGAAGTGAGTGATCTCCCGCTGAATCTCTGTAGTCTTCGATGCCGGATAGTACCTGTGCACGAACTTGTCCGCCAGATCGTCCCAAGAGGTGATGGACAATGGGGGCTGGGTCTCCAACCACCTCTTAGCATTTCCCGCTAGAGAATGGGGGAAGAGATGAAGGCGGATCGCATCATCGGGAACACCGTTCAGCTTGAACCCGTTTGTCAGCTGCAGAAAACGGGACAGATGTACCCTGGCCTCCTCATCCTTCAAGCCATGAAACTGGATCGAGGATGTGATGAGCTGAATCCAGCATGGCTTGATCTCGAAGTTGTTTGCTGGGATCGGCGGGTAGAGGATGACCGGGCGGATATCAGCAATCCGCGGAGTGTAGTAGTACTCCAAGGTGGGACCCGGCTGCGGTGGATGATGAACTCCATGGTCCTGGGGTATGGGGTTGTTCCCCAGGACCTGATTCACCGGGGGAACCTGCTGTGGATTCCCCTGGTGTTGGTTGTAGTCTCCGTCCATCCCGTGCTCTTCTTCAGAATCGCTGCTCAGGTGGCCGTCTATGCGCTCTTCCGTAGCCAGTCTAGCTCGCTGTTGTCTCCTAAGCTGGCGACAGGTGCGGTCAATCTCTGGATTCAACGGCAGTAAACCTCCCGACTGGCTACGGGTCATGCACTACCTGCACACACTCAAGCAACAAACTCGTGAAGGCACAAGTGGGACAAAGTAAACAAAGTAAAAAGAAAGCTAAATTAACAGAAATCACTTTTCTTCAACAACCTAGCCGTCCCCGGCAACGGCGCCAAAAACTTGACTCGACTCTACTGTCACCCTAGGAATTGGCCAAGTGCAACCACTCCCTAAAGCGTAGTATAGCGGGTTTAGGTTTATATGTCAACCCGGGTCCTAGATTTGCTGACTACTCAGTGAGTTCGTGTTATCTAGCAATGAAACTGGGATGCAAGTCTAAACTATCAAACTAACAAAGCAAGTAAACTGTTGTATTCAGGTTAAAGAGGTCACCCGGATATGGTTCCCCCTAGACTACAGTTAAGCCGGATTGTAATTACCAAGTTCAGTTTCTATGACAGTTATACTGCGGAAGGTTCTCAAACAGCCTGAAGTCTCGACTAAAGGTCTTCAGACCCTCTCAATCTGACTCTCTAGCGGGCGACTAACCTCCACCGGAGTCGACAGATTGAGGCCCTAAGAACAAAACCTCCACTACCGGAGTAAATCCGGTACAGAATAGTGAGTTGGCTCCTCGACTAAAGTCACCAACTCCCTACCTTCAATCAAGGATACTCTATTAACCTAGGCAGATATTCTCATTCTAGGTTAAAGCAGAAACAACAGGAATTTGATCAGGATTCAAGTCATTCAATCATTAAAACCTCAATCGAATATAATCAATCACAAAATCATACAAATCTAGGGTTCTCCATACCCAGATGAATGGGAGAACTACTCCATGGAGAAGAAAGCAAAAGCAGAATCAGACACGGAATTCATACTGCAAAGGATGGATTCCTGCTTCTGGACGTTGATTGGCACTTCTCCAAGCTCAAGCTGGCCTCCAATGGTGTTGAAGATCAATCTAGGGCACTTGGAGACTCTTGTTCGTCACTTTCTCTCTCTAGGAACTGATCTCTCTCTCAAAAACTCGAATCCCCCCGACTTTGGTTCGGAATTTGGCTTAAAACCAGGAAATCCCGACTCGCACGGCCAGGGTGCACGGCCGTGCATATCACCATTCTGGCCGTGCACCTCAAAACGCGGCGTATCAATTAGTTGAACCTCAGCCAACTCGCACGGCCAGAATTGTATGTTGCACGGCCGTGCGGATTTCACTTGTGCCCGTGCGTGCCCACGCACAATCCCGCACGGCCAAACTAGTCACTTGCACGGCCGTGCGTGTTGTGGGTGTGCCCGTGCGACTTCCTCAGAACCTCGCCATGCGTCCGATCCTCGTCCAATCGACCCCAGACTCGCTCCTAAGCCTTCATTCACGTCCTAGGACCTGAAATATCACAAACAAGCACAACCTACCGTGAAATCGGCCTAAAACACGAGAATCAACACCTCAAACGGTGTAAGAATGGGGGTAAAAACATGTGTAAATGACGGTCTATCACCCTTCGGGTTTAGGTTGAAGATGTAGAACCTCACATCATGATTGCCACCACCCAAAAAGCCTTTTCTCCATGTCCAAGCCAATCACCAATCATCTGAACCCGTGTCTAAGACCTTCGGACGAGCTAGTGGTGACAACCATCTCGTGAACTCTAGCATTTAGAGGTTACCGCCGTGGTATTGAGACAATAGGGCCGAGTGGTTACGATTGTGCACGTCTTTTGAACCAAAGAGGTCCCGACCCCACTGGTATTGAGATTGAGCGATTCATTCTTGCTTTGCATGTCATATCATACCCAGGTGAGGACCTTCATTGCCTTTCCATTTATTCCTTGGACTTGAATTCCATGCATGGTTGGTTGTGGTCGATAAGTGGTTTTGTTAAGACTTGAATTTATCCATGAATAAGTTGAGAACTTTTCGTTTGCCCGTGTTGGTGGTTTTGAATGTCGTTTGTGGTGGATGTCGGTATTACTTGCAACGGTTCATGTTTTGATTGTCAATAAACATCGAGAATTCCCGCTTCGTGTCCTTTGAGTTTTCCCTAAAGCATTTGTGTAGGTTGAAATATTACCGTGTACGTGAAATGGTTTTCTTGGGGACAACAAACGTCTAAGTGTGGGGGAGTGATTCGAGCCTAATTACACATGTTTTGCCCCCCGGTTGACTTAGATGTTTGTGCCAAATTCGCTCATTAAAGGTTGGTTTTACGCGAGGTTCTTCGTGTTTGAGTGCTTTTCAGGATTTAATAGGTGGAACCGGCCTCGGAGTCTAAAGATTGGCGAAAAGGATCGAAAACCGGGAGAAGAGGTGAAAAAGCGCCAGTTCACGGCTAAAGGCAGGAGTTCACGGTAGTGCAAGACCGTGAAGAAGGGGAGTTGACCATGAAGCGCAAGGCTTCCAGAGTCATTTTGAAGGTTAGTGACGCAAGGTGAGTTCATGGTCACTAAGACCGTGAACACAAACATTTGCCCGTGAACTGACGTGAGCGATGCAGAGTGTTACTGACGCAAGGTGAGTTCACGGACGCGTTTGATGGTTCACGGCCGTGAACTCAGGGCGTGAACTCATCTTTTCTCGTGTTTAAAAGCTGAGCTACCAGGAGGAGAGAGGGGAGAGCCCACTTTTGTGAGAAAACACCTTCTTCAGCATTTTAGTGAGAGAAACAGAACTAAAGAGAAGAAGAGGTTAGGGTTTGGCTCAAAGGAGATTTTGGAAAGATCTCCCATGGAGATCTCAACTCAAGGTTGAAGAAGAGAGGAGGCATCCCCAAAAGATGGTTTCCACTTTTTCCCTTTTGTTCTTCCCACTTATTCCATGGAGTAGTCCTCCTTTGACTTGGGTGTAGTGAAACGCTAACTCTACCATGTAGTTTTCTTGTACGTGGTTTAGATGATTGATATTGGGTATTGTTCAATTTAATGTTTGAGGCATTATTCACCATGATTGTGCATGCTTGTGCTTAGCAACTTAGGGGTTGTGCATATTTTGTGCTTAGCATCCTAGGGATTATGCATAATTGTGCTTAGCACCCTTAAGTTTGTGCATGTAGGAGCTAGTAATCTAATTTGCCACCTTAGCCTAGTTTATAAAGGAAAATCCCCCTTTCAAGGGAGACTCAATCGAGTTGGTTTTCCTTCCGCTTTCTAAGCCACCTAAACTAGGTTTAGTTAGGGCAACCCTCAATATTGAAATGAACAAATCGATTAATCATGGTTAAGCCGTCCGACCTTAGAGTTGAGAGAGGGAGTAAGCCGATTATTGATTGTCTAAACCGAGAGGATCCAGTGACACGACCTTTCATCCTCACCTAGGTTTAGCAATTGAGACCGTGGTCTTCAGCCACATACGCTTTCCTCTACAGTTCACGGTTAACATGCCCGAGGCAATCGTTCCAATCCATGTAGCATGGTAGCGGTTAGGGGGGAAGCAAAACCCGAGTGACTTACCCACAAAAGAGTTTTCAAACCAAATTACCTTTGCTTTCTTTCATTTCAATTAGCAAACCAACCTTTAAACCTAAGTTTCATCGCTAGATAATGATTTCAACAACCGAAGTAGGGGTAGACGCACCGGCCGGGTCGATATATAAATACTTGCCCCATACTGCACCTGATTAGAGTTTAAAACCTTGGGCTCTAATTGGGGTTTAATTGTGAAGTAGTTTCGTGTGAGTCACATTTCGACCATGGTATTGAAGGAGTTCAACAATAGTGTGGGTGTTTCAATAGATTGAATGCCAAGAAAACCCTCTTATATCATACACTTTGATTTTTGTGGCACTCTCTACTTTATTTACCCCGCTTTATTACCTATTTTTTTATTCTTTTTCTTTTTCGATTCTTTATTTGCCACATTAAATTTAACAACCAATGCTCTCTTTAAAGATCTTTGAATCGCATGAAACTACACCGCAAATTAATCCCGACTAGAGCCCAAGTGTTTAAACTCTAGTCGGGTGCAGTATAGGCCAAGTATTTAAATTGTCAACCCGAGCCGGTCCATGTATCTCTACTTCAATCGCTTAAGTTGTTATCTAGCAAAATGGTTTTGGGTTTAAAACTATGAGAACTACAAATAAAAACAAGCAGGTAAAGTAAATCGAGTGGAATTCTATATAAGAGGACCTCAATCGGGCGTTGCTTCCCCCTAACTAACAATTACGACTTGAAGAATGGAACAACCGTGTGTGCTTTGGGGATCATAAACCAGAGGAAAGTCTAACGAAGCAGCCAAAGCTACCCTCTTAGTCTCTAGGTTGAGGAATGGGATACGATCCAAGCCACTAATGTGACCCTCTCAACCTATCGACTAAGGAATGGTTACACTTCACCCTCGAAGAAGACTGATAATGATGTAATTGCACATATTTGCACCCCTAGTTCTTATCCGTTTGTGGGGCATAGTCGTGTATTTTTGGCCTATTTTACGCCGGGTTGTGCTACTTTGTCATATTTCAGGTCCCAGACGTCGAAGGTTAAGCACGAGTTTCGGGGCATTCGGAAGTCATTCGGTCGAGCTGGAGCCAAAACACGGGCACGCCTAAATTAAAGCACGACCGTGTTCCTGGACCGTGTTTTTACTGCCGAGGCTTGATCCAAAACTGTCAAACACTAGCTCAAAACACGGGCGGGACTAACCCACAACACGGCCGTGTCCATCATCAAGCACGCCCGTGTTTTCCCAAAGTTGCGGCCGTGTTTTTAACACGTGGCCAGGGCACGGGCGGGCTGGAGCAAAGCACGGCCGTGCCCTCGACCGTGTTTTGCCCAGTGATGCCCTTTTAGGCAGATTTCAGCCAAAAGAGAGGGGGATTCGAGTTTTAGAGAGACAGAGCGATTCCTAGAGAGAGAAAGCGACGAACAAGAGTTCCCAAGTGCCCTAGCTTGATCTTCATCACCATTGGAGCCTGGCTTGAGCTTGGAGGAGTGCCGATCGACGCCCAGGAGCAGAAATCCATCCTTCACAGTAAAGTTCTCCCATTCATCTGGGTATGGGAAACCCTAGATTTGTATGTTAGGTTTGATTGTATGAACCCAAGTACAGATTCTATGATTTGATTATATTCGATTGAGGTTTGAATGGCATGAATCCTGATCAAATTCCTGTTGTTTCTGCTTTAACCTAGAAAGAGAATATCTGCCTAGGTTGATAGAGCACCCTTAATTGAAGGCAATGAATTGACTACTTTAGTCGAGGAGCCAATTCACTATTCTGTACCGAATTTACTTC